ATTTATTACATGTAATTGCACTTTGCAGTGCATCTAAAACTTAAGTTCATGTGAAAAAAAAATAAATCACTATTTGGCCACAAAGTAAAATGCAGCTACTGTATAAAAATATGTATATTCTTTAAAAGCTTTAGTAAAAGAGAAGCTGGAGTGCGTAAAAATTCTTTAATCCTGGAGATCTTTTTAGGCTGAAGTGATAAACCAGGAGTGCTTTGTAAAGCACACACATTATTTATTAAATACTGCCGTTTCAGCATCAGTGGACGAGTTGCAGAGTAGGAGTATCTGCCCAGAGGAGATGATAATTTCAAAGACTGGGTGTGCTGGGGAAACCCAAAGGAGAGAGGAGCTGAAGTTTGGTTTGCTGGGTTCTGCTAACTTCCCTCCTGTGGCCATGGAGCCATAGGACCATGGCATTTCCTTCTGCACAAGTATCGCGCTGAGGAGAGAGTATTGCAAAATAGTGGGAGCTGTGGGGAACGGGGAAATTTAACCCTTCACAGAGAAGGGAGGGAATTAGCAGATGAGAAGAGGGGGGCAAAAATCTGTTTGCACGGAGTGAGGTTGGGAATACCAACCTCTGTTGCCCCCAAAGTGGAGCTGAGCTTGTCTTTGAGCTTACACTTTCTTCTGGGGACATCTCAGTGACAAGGCTGCCATCGTTTGGCATTGTGACCACCCAGCAGGCTGGCTCCCAAAGGAGGAGGTAGGAGGAACACAGGTTTGATTTTAACACAAAGCTGGGGGCTTTGCCATCACCTTCATGAAGGTTTTAGGTAGAAGGCTATAGTTGCTGGTTTTCCTGTTACAGGGAGATCATGGGCTTTCTCTTTCTTCAGAAAGGGGTGTGATAAATCTCTGACTTTCAGTCGCTTTGAGAAAATACTTCACTCTCAAGAGATCGGCTGTTGGAGCTGAACCTCTGAAGGTGTGTAGAGCATGGGCTGCTTTTGGTGTATATTGCCAGGCAAGAACTACTCCCAAATTTCAGTGACATAAGAGTGTTTCCAAACAAAATAAGCAACTCTGCTGTATCTGTTGAATTTCCTTCTTGAGCTTGTCCAGGTAAAATTCCAAGCTGGACAAAAAGGGGAAAGGTGCCTTATCCATATTTATTTGTGGGTTTGCTGGACCATTATTTATTTCCTGAGCCTTAGTATAGCATCTCTGCTACTGCTCTGCTTAGTGAGATCAAACAGAGCAGGAAACATCTCAAATAATAGGTTTGAGAAGTAGGTGAGGACAATAGTCAGACCTGTAATTCAAGCTCTTATTGCATAGGTTCCAAAGGGTTGGTTGACTTCTGGACACACTGTTAGGTGGTTCACTCTTCCTTTGTTCAGACGTGTGGAAAAAAAAAAAAAAAAAGAAACTATAGATAGTAATGTTATCACTCCCTTCAAAAGAGAGTGCTTTTGAAGGGATTGTCTCAGTGTTCTAGTTCTCAGGTCTTCATTTAGATTGGTTTTGAAGGGATTGTCTCAGTGTTCTAGTTCTCAGGTCTTCATTTAGATAAACGTGACTTCCCCTAACTCTGTGGAAGTCAATAAGGTTTATACCAGAGCCGTGGCACTCTATAAATTAAATATTAGGAGCAGTGTTTGAAGTTTAAAGCCCTCCCTCCTCCTGCTAGCTCAGATTTTCTGCTGCTGTGCTTTTTTCTTTATGCCTGAGCACCTTGCTGACAAGTGCTAATAACAAAATGCCAAGAGAGGGTCCAGTCGGAGTTACCACACATTAAACATTCTGAACTTGTCCTTTTGCTCATAGATTGTGCATAATTAATAATTAAACGGTTTCAGTTGTAATGGGTTGACCTTCTTGAACTGTTCATTATTCACAAGCCAAAGGCATCACTCAAACTTTTTTTCCTCTTGCCCTTCCCCGTTCTCACTGTGTGTGCACAGTTCAGCTGGTTTTGAGAAACCAGAGGCTGATCTTGTCTTCTCCTGCAGCAGATCCTGGTTGCTGAAATGTTGCTTGGATGCTTAGGGAAATAGCCAATTTTGGGAATCAGCTGCTGGGGATGCAAGAGGCCAATCGTACCCTGACCCTTACAACTCTTTGTGTCTTTACTGCCATTTAGCAGCATCCCCAATACATGGGTCTTTGTGATACTGGGTAAAAGATATGGTATTTAATGAAAATGAAAGAACTGTTTTCTAGTTTAAAAGGAGTATACCTGTTCTCACTCCCTTAAAATCTTGGGTTTCTACTTTTATTTTGCCTCTATAGTATGATTTCAGTGTGCAGGTGGGTGAAAAAAAGCAGGCCATAGGAGTGCAGCTGGGCCATTCCCTATGGCTACATCAAATGTGACCTTGTAGGTTTGCTTTATTTCCTCATTTTCCCATCCCTTTGAGTCCCAGACGAAGTCCAGGGAACTTCAGGATACAAAAGAGGATGTATTTATTTTGTGTCGTTTGGGAACTTTTGCTTTTATGCAACGTGGTGATTGCTCAAGTTACAGCAGCTATTTCTCTCGTTCTCACCTTTCTACTACTCGAATGGTCTTGCATTGAATAATATCAGAAACTGAAATATTTCAGTCGTTGGTTTCTCTGGGGTAGATCTCATAACTCATAATGCATTTCCTAGTGAGTGTTTTCTTGAGATCGATGCACTCTCCCAAAAGGCTTGCAACGTGTCGGGCAAAGAGCCAGTAAATTTGTGGGGTGCCCAGTCTAAAATCCTTGGGAAGACTGTATTAAAGCATCTGGTTTTCATATGGAGATCCATCTCCACCAACGCACACAATCTCTTCCCGAGCTCCCGAGAGCAAACCAACCAAGGCATGGCCATGACTGGCAGGTCTGTGGCAGAAGAGAGTGGGCTTGGATGGGGATGAAATTACCTGCATTGTACAGAAAAATGTGCCAAAAAAAAGGTAGCAATGAACATTTACTTTCATCCAGGTGAAATTTTCTTGCGTGTTTATGCAGGAGCCATATTCCTGTCCTGCTCCCCAGCATGGACTGATCCCACCCAGCAGCCCCATTATAGGGGTGATTGCATGAAGCTCCTCACTTGTATTTTACTTAAAATAAATAGCGGGGGTAGAGCCTGGGGAATGGGCTCCAATAGCTTCGCCCTGTAATTTTCAAAATGTAATATATGCCCAGAGTATTTCCTACCTGCTCTGCTTGGAGTCTGTCCCACCTGGGAAGGCAGCGTTGGCCGCAGCGGGAGGAAGCCCAGGAAGGCTTTGCTGGAGCAGGGAAAAGGATGGGAAGAGGCAAAACCCACCGGGCTCCACGCCGTATGAGTGAGCCTGACATTCTGCCCTGCATTCTCTGTATTAATAAGAATAATTTTCATGCGCAGTTCTTTGAAGTGGAGAAAGTTTAATTGCAGTGCTTATTTCCTCGTGTTCCTTCCGCTCTCTGGTGGAAAACCTTCCTATATTGATGTCATTTATAAGTTTAGAAACAATAACCTCTCCCTCACCCGGTCTAAGTTCAAAGAGAATTTGGGCATGTTATATCAAACACTCCTTGTATTTAATAGAAGTCTTTGAAAATCGTAAAGCAATTTTGGCTTCTCCTTTTACTCTTCAGTTACTTTTGATTTAATTGTATTTTCCAGCAGTTTCCAATTGTTTGAATTGGAAACAAAGCCTTAATAAGAGTTCTAGTTAATTTTCTGTCTTGTAATTACCGATCTCATTTTTCTGATAATTGGCCACAGCAATTATATGTATATTTACTAATCACATAGGAGGCTCTGCAGTTGGGTCTATCTGCCACCATTGATAATGGCACACACATTGCAGAGGTGCTTTTATCATCTTCTTTTTTCCACTACATCAAAGCTATTTCCTCGCATTCTCAATAATGAATACATGCATGCATTTGACACAGTTGTGTGCTAGAGAAATTGTTTGGCTCCCACCAAATGCTGCACGCTCTGAGTTTCTTGCCTGCAGCGCTGGAAGGTTGTATGTAATGATATATTGCTCATCCAAATGGCCAAAGCACTCCAAAGCACAGTGAGATTAAAATAAGTCATTCCTTTGTTAATTTAAATAGGTGCATGTATCATACTTTGCAGGGTACTTTGTGTAGGGATGTCAGGGAGGAAAAAAGCCGCCGAAAGGTATTTTTAATAGCAAATGAGAATAGATGAGAATGGAGTCATTTGCAGCTGCCTGTTTTATGTGGCTCTCTTGTTCCAACTGTAGGTCTAATGAGATGACACTGTTAAAGTACTCTGCAGTGTAATTTCATTACATCCTGAGCTGTTACACTATAAACACAGTGGAGCTCTCTGTCATTCTTGGAAAAACTCCTAAATTCGTAAAGCCCTTCTTTGCAAATGGTGATGTTGTTTGTTCCCTGGTTGTTGGGTTGTTGGTTTGTTTTTTTCTTGTGCTCTTAATTTATTTTTTTTCTTTTCTTTCATAAATACTGGGTGGTTATTTTCAACCACTAGACTGGTAAATCCTGCTTTTTTCCATCTTAAAAATTCTTGCGCCTTTTAAATCTCCAACAGACAGCATATGAGGACAGCCTCTAAAATGAATAAGTGTAAATAAACATGAGTGTAAATAAATAGCAAATGCAGTGAAAGAAACAAAGGTCAACACAAGAATAATTTCACAGCTCTTTGTTAATTACAAGACCATTTGTGTGTTACTTAAATAATCATTAATTTCTCATTTACACTTTCCCTACCTTCCTTTTTACCCTGTGGCTATCATTGTCCTTTTTTCACCTCCCCTCAGTGTCTTTCCACATGTTTTTACCCATTGTGTAATACTCATTAGTTGAAATTCAGTGTTTTATAACACATTCTCAGTAGAATTTGTACCTTTCTCCCTCAAATTCTCTGTGTGAAAAGGGGGCTTTGTGCCTTCCATTTTTTTTTTTTTTTCCTTCTTGTTGTTGTTGTTGCTGTTACATTACTCTCCCTCTTAAAAAAAAAAAAAAAAAAGAAAAAAAAAGAAAAAAAATTATCTTCTCTCCTTCTGACTATGCTTCTTGTTTTCAATCCAATCCCAGGAATCGCCCGTCCTTCCAGCCGGGGAGTTCTCTGAGCCATTTGTACACTTCATCACTCAATGGTAAGCTCAGTTTGCAAACATGCCATGCCCTCAATGTAAATGATACATGCCATTAACTCGGCAGCTCGGCGAGACCTTATGGCTTTCCTTGCATCCTTTCTGAGAGAAGAGGGACTTGGGGGCCTTGGGCAGATGGGGCAGCAAAGCTAAGCAAACTGTTTAAATTATGTAAACGTTATTTACACAAAGGGTCGTAAAAGTACTTACAAGGGTTTTTTCCTGGTTTTAATAAACCTGCCCTGAATGTGGGTGCAGTCTCGTGCTCTGAGACCCATAAGAATTCATCCGGGGGAGTAAAGAGATCACAAAGACTTGTGTGTATAATAGCATTATTCAGGGCTTTTTAAAATATTACTTATAAAATTGCCTCAACATTTAGGAGGACAAGCAGCCTTGATTAATTCATTGGCTTTTCAGTAAGTAATTTTTACTGAGAGTCATATTTTGAGCCACACCACTGGGTATATTTTCTTTCCTTAAAACTGAATAGTTCGTTGGAAACCTTTTAAATTAAAGGAGAATTGGGGAGAGGAGGAATTTGTAGAATAAAGAAGACAGTTCTTGAGTGACTAGAGAATAAAAATCTTGAGGGTAAGCTGTCCTAAAGAAACAAAACAAAGGTAGAATCCTTTTTTAACTGTCTTGTACTGCCCCCCGCCCCCCCCAAAAAAAAAGAAAAGGGCAGTCATTTATGTGTGGCAGAAGAAACCAGCTTGAAATTTGTACAGAAATGATGTGTTTGAGAGAGAAGGGAATGTGTGCTCCCAGGGCTGGCTGCTCAGCTGTGCTAAATCAGATGGAGCCACCATCTCCCCGTGTGCCGAGAGGGATTCCTGCATCAGGGACACCTCCTCGGCCAAAAGAAGGGGCTGGACCCCCCCAGCCCCACACGGGTCTGTGGATCGGGCTCTGCAGCACCATCAGGGTCTCTGCTGGGTGCCGGGGCCGCTGCGGCAACAGTCATCGAATAAAATTGAATTTTGAATACCTAACATAGGAGAAAGTACCTCTCGGGACTGACAGAGTATGTAACAATACAGACACAAAAAGCAGTCTGATTATCGGTTAATTAAAGTAACTAAATAATTAAAGTTTGTGTAACATAGGCCTCCGTTTTCAATAGTTTCAGTTTACAGAGAGCCGTGCCATTTGGAGGGTTCTGCGGCGCAGGAACCGCCGTGCGCGGAGGCCGATGGCTTTTTATCCCTGAAAAAAAAAAAAAAAATTGATGACAGACTGGATTTTAAAAAAAAAAAGTAATTCTCATTGAGGCAGAGGGGAGGGATAACCCGTGTTAAAATTTCCACAGATGTCAAACTGAAGCATAACTGATGGTGGCTAATAGCCTGGGTGTCCCTGGGGACGCAGCTCCTTTGGACTGTCAGATTTGAGCTCGTGGGGCAGCCCGCGTGGCTCCCCAGTGCCAGGGTTATTTTTGGGGGGCTTGTCGTTGTAGGGCAGGTAAATCTTATGGTTAACACCTCCAATTTACAGCACAGATCGTCTGGTATTTTAGATCTAGTGTTATATTGGCCGTGCTTTTCCGTGGGAGGCGTTGCTGTTTAAAGAAAAAAAAAAAAAGGCAAATAAGAAGAAACCGGATAGTATTTAAGTGATCGATTCCTACCGAGTATTAGAGATGTCAAGTGAACGGCGTATCAGACTTTATGACTTTATGCCAATTACGCCGTAAAGAGGGGCGGTTTGGATGTAATCCAATTAGTCAGTAGGCAGCTCCTGATGGTCACCTCTGTGCCACGTTATTGTGTTCCCTCATGCAGCTCCGCACAGCCCTCAGTCGCTAATTGCACCTGTTGCAGGGAAAACTAGGACTATTTGGATGAGAAACATGATCTTATAAACAGGTTAATGCTGTGTAATGAACTATCACCCTGCAGTGTAATGGAAATAAATGTGAAAAAATTAAGGTGGAAACCCCAGGGTATTGTGCGTTCTCCTGAAGCTGCTTAGCGTTGGAGTTAAATTTCCCACCTGTTTTTGAAATACTTGGTGTGGAGCTATGGAATATGGAGCTATGGAATAATGCCTGGCAAAATGAAAATTAACTCACTGAGCTGGCTGTTTTTTGATGGTTTCATATTTACACACTTTCATGGTGGCACACAGTGTAGACCACTACATCCCATAAGGGGAGGGGTGGGAGGGAAGAAATCCATTAACATTTTGGCCACTGTTAAGAGCCCCGTCTTCCATCAGCACATGATAAAGTTAAGAAATACATAGAAGTTCTTCACTCTGTGTTAAAAGAGGATATCTTCAATATTTAAGCAAGTAGAATAAATGAGCAGTTATTTATATATGACCATTTTGTTTTATGACACGTAGCATGAAAAAGCAACCAAAGGAAAGACCAGCACCTGAAGATTTAATGGTAAGTGGAACTTCAGAGCCCCTCAGTATGTATTTGTCTGTGAGTACTTTTAATTCATGTATATAGAAGTGTATCCATTTTTTTTAATGCATTTTTCAGTATGTACAAATTCAAATCTAAGCTCTTTCTGGCTTGTGCAGCAATTACATATTTACAGAGAGCGCACAAACCAAAGGTTTAATTGCGATTCCCCTGAAGTTAATGGGTATTTTGCTGTTACCTTCATCGTGGCCAAAGCTTCACTTGGGATTTGGGGAGTTAATACAGAACTTTCACAGCCAGTATCGAGTTTCAATCAAAACCATTTTGATGCTTAATACATATTTTTTTTTCCAGTTTGTATGTCCAGGGATTACAGCTTAATGTAGGTCACTCTTTGTCGTCATTTGCCAGTCTTAACCTTTCAAAATCTGAAGATTGAAAACGGAGGATGTGGTCAAAATTGTGTATTTTTAATGAAATGCAGGAGCTACTGTTTTCACTTATATTCATGTAAAATGAAATTAGATTGGCTGCAGAAGATTGAGGTAATGTGTGGCTTTGGTCTGTCCCTAGAAGGGCTCTCAGTGGTGGAATCTGAGTTCAGAGACCACTTCTTTTCCTTGCAATTGTCATTTTTTCAGTAAGGCAATAACAGGGTACCTGCTCTCAGGCTGGTCCCTTGTGGCTCTGCATTTAGTGCAGAGTGCAGTTTTGACTGGTTTTAGGCAGTAGAAAAATACCATATCAAACAATTTTTACAAATATTTACAGTAACTTATATAATAGATAAGAGTTGTAGCCCCCTCTGACTGTCATCATGTATCTTTGATTTTTTTTAAATGTTTCATTACTTTTATTCGTGCGCTATATTTCCTGAAACTTGGAGGTTTATGTAAAATCATGATAATTTATTTTCCGTGCATTAAATATCTAGGAATAACATTAGCAGATTTTAGCAAGCTACAGACACATTGGCGTCATTTCATTTTTTGTTTACATACTGTGAACTGCAAGTAGAAAAAACAAGTGTTTCTATTGCAGCTATTCTCTAGTTAAAGGCTAATCTCTGAAGATGCCCTGGGGCAGATATCTCACGATCCAGACTAGTCTCAATTTAGATCCTGGTTAGTAAAGTATTTTATTGTGAATCTAATTTTAAGGATATTAACTTCAATAGATCTACATCTGAAGTTAGGCACCTGCTTAAATACCTTGGTAAAATGAGGCCTTAAAGTTTATCAGAGCCCCTCCACTTTGTGGTGGTGTGTGTCTCCTACGAAAGGCTCACACTGCCTTATTTTGTCTTTTTTATTAACTTTTGATGGTTGGAAAATTCTTGCAGTTAGTCACATCTGAGAAAACTTGGAACAGGTTCTAGAGATGTAGACACATTTACCTTGTGCACTATTATGCTATGGCTGGATAGCTTAGCTATTAAAACAACGGAATAGGGTTTCATAAAACCTATATCTGTTTGTAAATGCATGTTTCAGTGATGCAATAGGCCTGCCACTTATAAATAAAACATCTGCAGATCGCACATACCCCCATAAGTATATATGTATGTTTGTAAGCAATAACACCACTCCAGGGTGTAGAGTCATAAAAATGAGGCCAAAGGGTGAGTGCCTGCAGTACCAGGGAAGTGCACAGATTTATCTTTACAACTACATGCCCTGGAGTGTGCTAGTCCCCTTTTTAGGAGGTCTTTTTGTAAAATAATTTTAAAATTATAGCAGCTCAGGAAATAAATTCTAAAAAAAAAAAAAAAAAAAAACCCCCCTTATTTTTTAACCAAAATTTTTTGTTTAATGCTTTTTTCTAAATTAAAGCAGCTGAGGAAATAAATTTTAAAAAAAAAAAAAAAAAAAAGCCGCCTTACTTTTTAAGCAAAATCTTTTGTTTAATGCATTTTTCCTCCTCCTTATGTTACTTCCTATTCAATTATAAATGAACTTACAACAAGTACTAAAGCATGAGGCAGGCAGCTGCAGAAATAGGGAAGTGACCCCGTCCTCACCTGCAACGTGGCTGACCCTCCCAACCTGCCCCAAATTCCCTCCTCCAGCCCGATGGGCTCAGAGCACCCCGTGCTTTTCTTTGCATTCTTGCACTTACCTGGTCTCATCCAGGAGCACTTTATTTATAAAACTCATTATGCATATATACATTAGCAGATATATGCCCACACACATAGTAAGTCTATAGCCACACAGCATTATCTGTACATGCATAGACATGTGTATATAAACTACCATACTTTTTTTTTGGAAAGCAAGACCAAAGCAAAAGCTGTTAAATATCCTCGGAATTCTGGAATTGCACACCCAAATATCCTTTCTAACTCCACGTCATCCCTTTCTGAAACCCCTGTTGTAATTCTGATGGGTATCTCCCTGTTAAATACCAGAGTGGGCAGAGGGATGCGGATTCCATCAGTGAAATCCTGGACTCGTCAAGGTCAGTTTATCGTTGATTTAAACGAGAGCAGGGTTTCACCTTTTTCATTGTGTTGTTTTGGGTTTTATTTCTTGTTTAGAAGAGGTGCACTAGCGAGGATGAAAGGTGTGACACGTAATCATCGTTAGCTTCAGAGAGAACAGTAGAGTGCAGGCTCTCTCCCCGATGGACATTAACCGTACTGGAAGCCACTATTTGGTAGCCAATTTAGTATAATTAAAGACTGAAAGCAAAATGAAGGGAGCGGAACATCAATCTTTTTCTACTCTCCTGATAATCGGTGAATTGTTAAATGCATTTTAAGAGTCGACTAACAATACCTGGAGTGTGGGATTGGCAACTCCGGGGAAGTCAGGGGTTACATCAGGGATGGATTTACCCCGTCTGTCATGTCAGGAAGCCCTTTTTTATAAAAGTCACTGTGCACATTTTGACAGAAAATAGGGCCAAAGCCAAGGCTGTATGAAATTCCTGTATAAAGTCAGGCTTTCCAGTACCATAGATATTATTGTGCAAGCGAACACCGAATTTCCATAACACTATAATTCAGGTTCCTGTATTTACATTTGGTCACTATGGCCTTTCTTCTGTGTATCCATCCACAAAACAAGATATAACATCAGTTTCTCTGTGTCATGATAATAACCAATGATTTCATTGTTTCAAAGTATTTCAGATTAACAGACTTTTGCCACAGAAGTGAAAAAAAAAAAAAAGTAATTTCACCAAATAATGGGAAAATTATCCATCCTGGGAAAGGAACAATCTTTATAATTGACTGGTGGATGTTCTGAACCTTGTGCTCATGGTGTCTGCTCTTTTGTCTCTGGTTTGTTCCCTCTTAAGAAGAGAAAGGCAGAGAGTTGGTTAAATTGGACGTACTCCTCTTTCAGCACCGGAGGAGTCTGCACAACATCTTAGCGTGTTCCTCTGTCTCTCTTCTCTCCCCTCCCAAAAAGAAAAAGCAGATCCTAACACGTCTTCTGTATGAAGATTAATTTAATTATTTTTTTTCCTCCCGTCAACTTCCTGCTCTCATTTGAAGCGTGGAGTTTGGCGTCACGAGCCTGGCTCCTGGGGAAATGCAGACATAGGTGTGTATTTAGCAATTGCCATGTGGTGATACGGGGTAAGGTTTCAGCCTCTGCTTGTGCCGCGTCTGTGGGTGGGCATCCAGGGGCTGGTTCGGCTCAGGAAGCTGTAGATCTGACTGTATTTACGGTATTTTTTTCAGCAGCTTTCCATTCTAAGCTCTATTTAATGGAATCTATGCATAGTAAGTAATCAGGTCAGAGAGAAGCAACATCCCCTGTTTGAGATCAATCGCTGGCTAATACTTTATCTAGGCCACTTTATTATCTCATGCTGATTCCATTCCCATTCTCCTCCTCCTTTGTAGCATGCACTTCAGCTGTGGTAAAAGTACGTATCGCATACATATTAAAAACATATACCCATTCTATCTGTATGTAAATGTGTGAGACACAGCTGGATATTGCAGGAGTTTGATTTACTAATAGTTATTATCTGTTCTAGCTGTTCAGAGGCAAAGAGAGTTTCAGAAAACAAGCTAGCGCAGAAATTGCCTTTATGATATCACTATCCTCCTTTGGTAATTGTTTAAAATCTCTTCTTTAGCTGGAAGCTTGGCCTTTTATTTTGCAGATTGTATGCACTTTTCAGAAAGCCAGCAGAATTGTTGAAGTCTTTTGTTGAGTTTTTTTGTTAGTACAGCATTGAACTCTACCATGCTACATACGGCTCTTTAAATGAAAGCGATTTACTTAAAGAAATTATATTTGAAATACCAAAAGTCAAGCGTGTAGCAGTATTTCCCATGGAGGCATAAAAGTACAGTTTTTAAGATGCTGCTTGGATTTCTCAGGGAAAATATTGAGCAGGGAGAGGCAAAGCTTTTGGCCAAGGATATAGTCAGCTTTTGCACTGAATTACTTTTGCGCAGATCTATTAATTTTTGTTCGAGTCTCCAAATTTTAGACACAACTTCTAGCTTTTCTCCTTTTTTTTTGTTTTAATTTAAATTACTGACACATTTTATGTTGGTGTTTTATTAATTTAGAAGATTGTACTATAAATTGTACATCATCTGTGTCAAAACTACTGACCTGCTAGAAAACATGATTTTTTTTTATTTTTTTTTTAATTTTACTGCCTAGTGCAATTTTGAAATTTCCCATTCCTGTGTGTTCAGAAATCCCTTTCTCCATTTCAGGAGTGGTGTGTAGACCAGCCACGCTGGTCTCATTGGCTACAATGGGCATTTTTTTCAGATAGATCATTTGTTTGTATATTTAAACGTGTTAAGATATGTGTCAAGATATCACAGACTTTCAAAAATAGGTTCTGGGTGGCTGTTCCTCCAGTACAGGAGATTAAAAATGCTTTTAAGCAGCAGTATTTTCAGTATCTGTATTCCAGAGGGTCTGGAGAGTAGCACTTCATACCAGGTAGACCTAAACTTGTTTGCAGTGGCTTGTTGTTAAACCATTTTTTTTACAGCTTTTAGGAAATACTTCTATGGTTTAAACAAACAAGTG